GATAAATGGTGAGGGTTGCGTCAGGAAGGGCATCCGGCGTAAAACGTTTAGCTAAATCAAATATGCAGATCAATAAAACGATTTCTATACCGGATCGGTCGAGGCCCGGGTTAACAACGACCGCCAACAGTGCCGTTGACCAACAGGGCACTGATGGAAATTGGACTACTGTTGGTCAGAGACAGAGTCAGAGACAGAGAAGAAGAGGAGGGCGTTTGGTTAGGAGAAAAAGAGAAAAGATGAAGAATAGAAGTGTTAGTCTGAAGTTTGGAACTTTGAATGTAGGTACAATGACAGGGAAAAGTAGAGAAATAGCTGATGTGATGGAGAGAAGAAGAGTAGATATTTTGTGTGTGCAGGAGACCAGGTGGAAGGGCAGTAAGGCTAGAAACATTGGAGGAGGCTACAAACTGTTTTATCATGGTTCAGATGGGAAGAGAAATGGAGTAGGGGTGATCCTAAAGGAAGAATATGTAAGAAATGTGGTAGAGGTGAAAAGAGAGTCAGACAGGTTGATGTGTGTGAAGGTAGAAGTAGAAGGAGAGATGATTAATGTTGTTAGTGGTTATGCCCCACAGGTGGGCTGTGAGTTGGAAGAAAAGGAGAAGTTCTGGAAGGAGCTAGATTGGATGGTAGAGAGTATCCCCAGGAGAGAGAGAGTGGTGATTGGAGCAGACCTAAATGGTCATGTAGGGGAAGGGAACAGAGGAGATGAGGAAGTGATAGGCAGGTTTGGTGTTAGGGAGAGAAACGTAGAAGGACAGGCAGTGGTAGATTTTGCAAAGAGAATGGAAATGGCTGTGGTAAACACATATTTCCAAAAGAAAGAGGAACATAGGGTGACTTACAAGAGTGGAGGCAGGTCCACACAGATAGATTATATTCTATGTAGAAGATGTAATCTGAGGGAGATTAGAGACTGTAAGGTGGTGGCAGGTGAGAGTGTAGCCAAACAACATCGGATGGTAGTGTGTAAAATGACGATGGAGGTGACAAAAAGGAAGAGAGTGAAGACAGAGCAGAAGATCAAGTGGTGGAAACTAAGGAAAGAGACATGTTGTGAAGACTTCAGGAAGGAAGTAAGGGCAGTTCTGGGTAGTGTTGAGATATTCCCAGATGATTGGGAGACTACAGCTGCAGTGATGAGGGAGACAGGTAGGAAGGTGCTAGGTATGTCCTCTGGGCAGAGAAAGGAGGACAAAGAGACCTGGTGGTGGAATGAGGAGATCCAGGAGAGTGTGCAGAGAAAGAGATTAGCGAAGAAGAGATGGGACAGTGACAGAACAGAAGAGAACAGACTGGAGTACAAAGAGAGGACAAGGGAGGTGAAGAGGGAAGTGGCCAAGGCCAAACAAAAGGCATATGAGGAGTTGTATGAGAGTTTGGAAACAAAGGAAGGAGAAAAGGAGTTGTATAGATTGGCGAGACAGAGAAATCAAGCTGGGAAGGATGTGCAGCAGGTGAGGTTGATTAAGGACAGAGAGGGGAATGTGATCACAAGTGAGGAAAGTGTGCTGAGAAGATGGAAGGAATACTTTGAGGAGTTGTTAAATGAGGAAAATGAAAGGGAAAGTAGAAACGAGGAGCCAGAGACTAGTAGGAAGAAGGTAGATCAGGTTAGAAAGGATGAAGTTAGAAAAGCCCTGAAGAGGATGAAGAGTGGAAAGTCAGTTGGTCCTGATGACATACCAGTGGAAGTATGGAAGTGTTTAGGAGAAGTGGCAGTAAATTTCCTGACTGGTTTGTTTAACAGAATTTTAGAGACTGGCAAGATGCCTGATGAGTGGAGAAAAAGTGTTCTGGTGCCAATTCATAAGAAGGGTGATGCACAGAGTTGTAACAACTACAGAGGGATAAAGTTGATGAGCCATACAATGAAGATTTAGGAAAGAGTAGTTGAAGCTAGGTTGAGGCAGGAAGTGGAGATTTGTGAACAACAGTATGGTTTCATGCCTAGGAAGAGTACCACAGATGCAATATTTGCCTTGAGGATGTTGATGGAGAAGTACAGGGAAGGTCAGAAGGAGCTGCATTGTGTATTTGTAGATCTAGAAAAGGCATATGACAAAGTGCCAAGGGAGGAATTGTGGTTTTGTATGAGGAAGTCAGGAGTGGCAGAGAAGTATGTTAGTTTGGTGCAGGACATGTATGAGAATAGTACAACAGTAGTGAGGTGCGCTGTTGGGAGGACAGAAGACTTCAAAGTGGAGGTGGGACTACATCAAGGATCGGCCCTGAGCCCCTTCTTGTTTGCTGTGGTGATGGACAGATTGACAGATGAGGTCAGACAGGAGTCCCCATGGACTATGATGTTTGCAGATGACATTGTGATCTGTAGTGAGAGTAGGCAGCAGCTAGAAGAGAACCTAGAGAGGTGGAGGTTTGCACTAGAAAGAAGAGGAATGAAGGTCAGTCGCAGCAAGACAGAGTACATGTGTGTAAACGAAAGGCAGAACAGTGAAATAGTGAGGCTACAAGGAGCAGAGGTGGTGAAGGTGCAGGAGTTTAGGTACTTAGGATCAACTGTTCAGAGCAGCGGAGACTGTGGAAGAGAGGTGAAGAATAGAGTACAGGCAGGATGGAACAGCTGGAGCAAAGTGTCAGGAGTGATCTGTGACAGAAGAGTGTCAGCTAAGGTGAAGGGAAAGGTTTACAGGACAGTGGTGAGACCAGCCATGATGTATGGTTTAGAGACAGTAGCAATAGGCAGAAGACAGGAGGAGGAGCTGGAGGTGGCAGAGTTAAAGATGCTAAGATTCTCTTTAGGAGTGACAAGAATGGACAGGGTCAGGAATGAGGTCATTAGAGGGACAACACAGACAGGAAGGTTTGGAGAAAAAGCTAGAGAAGCCAGATTGAGATGGTTTGGACATGTGCAGAGGAGGGACAGTGGATACATTGGTAGAAGAATGTTAGAGATGGAGCTACCAGGTAGGAGAAAGAGAGGAAGGCCAAAGAGGAGATATATGGATGCAGTGAGGGAGGACATGCAGGTAGTTGGAGTCAGAGTAGAAGATACAGAGAACAGGGAGAGATGGAACTCAATGATCTGCTGTGGCAACCCCTGAAAAAAAGGGACAAAGCCGAAAGAAAAAGAAGAAGAACGAGCAGTTGGACAGGTGTACCTAATAAAGTGGCCGGTGAGTGTATATTTCGTTCAATTTAACTTAAAATATGTGGCGCTTTGGCGCAGAGGCAATGTCTCTGTCATTGGTGTGGAATCCCAGGGTTCACCTCCTGGACAAGTTTGAATCCCGGTTAGGGCGGTTGGTACCTTCCAGTGGACTCACCACCCGCAGGAAGGTTTAGGGGGGTTGGTACGGTGCAATGTGATTTGGGTGGCGACTGCTGCCCCTGCGACCCGGTAACGGATAAGTGCATGAAAATGGATAGATGGATGGAAACTTAAAATTTTACTGTAAGAATCCCATGAGACAATAATTAATCATCTGGCCAAACGAGAAGCGGCTCTATTACATTTCCTAATTAAGACAGTTTTCTCAGCCTTCACAATGATTAATAGTTTTGGTCTGGCCACACATCCATTGTGAGCGGACTCCAGAGACGGGGAAAGAAGGAGCTGATAAGAAAAGGAAGATTCTGGTCTGGACTGCAATCACTGTGTTGAGCAGCAGAATACAAGAACAGATGGACCGGGGCAGAGTACGGGGCAGACAACTCTATCACAGTCTCATCAGAGATTAATGTGGGGGGCCGCCTACTTGGTCTAATGAAGTGATTAGTTCACGTTTAATCTGGAGTTCACTTGTTTTGTTCTGTACCATATTAAAATGAATTTATTTGTGAAATCAGCAGCTTTATTATGATTTGTTAGCTTGTGTGGCTGATTACTTAAACTATTTTTAAAACATGTCAGCACCTCATAGAAATATTGCATTCTCGAGGTCATTACTCTAAAAATACCCTCTGCCTGGTGGGAAATGCCCTGACAGCAAAAGTATTTTCCATAGAAATACCCCTTTAAGTGGTACATGGAAACGATGGGAAGTGAGGATTGTTATTCTAATAAAAATTGTAAGTCTTTGTTACTGTATAGAGTTGGCTCTATCCATTTCGGTGCCCTTGGCAACATTATAGTTTGGCGCCCCATCGCACCCCATTGTAGCTAGATTCCTAACTTAGGTTGATGGCCTGTTTTGCGCTAGAGTTTCCGTTTATTATTTAGTTATGCCTAATGTGTTTACTATTGAAAATTTACATTAAAGTGAATGGGTCATGCTTTGTTTGGCCCCCAGCTCACGTCTTTCCTCCTGAGCCACAGCCAAAAGCTGCCCTTCTCTGCCTCTTCTGCCAGTTCCCTCATGGCTTTCCTGCACACTGTTCCTGTGCATCCCATGTCGTGGAGCAGGCGTACGGTTGAGGACCTGACGAAGCCCCTGCATCCTACTTCAACGGGGCACATGATGGGTTTCCAGCCATTCGCTCTGCATTCTGCTGCCAAGTCTGCGTACTTTGCTTGTTTCTGCTCGTTGGCAGCCTCAGTGCCTTCCTCCCATGGGACGGTAAGCTCCACCATTATAAATGTCCTGCGTGGTTCTGACCACATGATCAGATCTGGCCGGAGCGAAGTTTCTGTGATCTCCCTGGGGAATTGGAGCTGCCTCCCCAGGTCGACCCTCATCGACCACTCGCTGCCTGGTGAGAGTACCGTTGGTGTTACTCTCTGGCAAGGAAGGTTGGTGTTCTCTCCGGCCTTTGCAAACCATATCAGAGGTCTTGCTGAGGTGGAAGGTGTGTTGTTGGCCTTCTGTCTGCATGACTCCACCACCTCTGCCAGCTTCCTTAACACCAGGCTACCTGTAGCGGCCTTGGGACAATGCGGTCTTACAGCCTGACAGGATATGCTGGAGGCTTGCATTGCCAGTGCTGCACAGGGCACAGGATTCTTCCACACCAAACCACAGGTGGAGATTTCTGAACACCTTCCCATGACATCCAGCCTCCCTGTCGGCTTTGAGCATGTGATAACTATAAACAGCTATGTTTCACAGTTATCTTTATTAAATATTTGTCTTTGATGCATGCACTATACAAAGGCAAAATGACATTCAACAACAAGTGCAGAATTCAACAACAAAACACTGAACAGTCTGAACAATAAAATGAAGCCTGTTTAATGACATGAAGCCTAACTGGATGGATGAGCTGCCTGGGACTTAGACCTGATGATCATCACGGATGAATGTATGAAGCACACCATGCACTTATGAAGTGTAAATAAAGAAATGGTAAACAGTACTTGTCCATGTTTTTTTTAAGTAAGTATTGGATAATGAAATGTCCATTATTTGCTTCAATTGCGCAAACTTATCCAAGGTCGAAGTTCATGTACAGAGTCTCTGTTCCCTGGAGAGACAGTCAGGGAGCTGCAGTGTCCCACTGCTGTGTCCCTGTGTCTCCTTACTTATACAGGTAGCAGCTCCGGAGGACTCTCTCCATAGCAGTACTTGGCTTGTGGGTTTCGGTACGTGTTCTCATGTTGAACACTCTATAGGAGGAAAAGAAAATTACATTTCATCTCTCTTGTTATAATGTCTTTTTATTTTATTTAATAATACAACATGAGTCTGTGTTGCGTTTCGTGGTTCACATTATGAACCTCGCCATTCCTTAATGAAGCCAAACAACATACCCTGTGTACGTCATAAAAATATCAACAGGTGACAGATGATGGCAACCTTTTAAACACGCACTTCAAAACTTCTAATTTTTTATTAAATTGACAGAATCAAGCACTGCAGCTTTAAGTTGTCCATTACCATTTATTTAAATTTGCAGGAAGTCAACACCACTGATGAGAAAGGATGAAGAATTTTTGATTCCATAGTTCAACATACCTGCGACGAGGTTCGACACTTTGCCAGACACAGCTCAAAATGATCCTCCACAGCAGTGAAGAGATTCTGGAAACCTTCAGCTGCACGATTCAGGAAGTGCTCCAGAAGAGGTTGCTGATGAGAAGAAAGAAAGACACACACGTTTGTTTCAGGAACCTTAGGTTTGAAAATGTGGCCTGGAGACAACTCATTAACAAATTGATTAACATCTTTTATGTGACAGATTACATACCTTATCAGGTTGAAGACAGCAAGACACGCAGTACTCGTAGATGCTGCAGCAGCCATTTGCCAGGCAGCTTTTACAACTGTACTGCCTGGTGCTGGGACCGTTGACATTACAACAGCCATTTACCAGCAGATCCTTCCTCTCACAGACATAACCTGTTACAAAATGGAAGGGGTTGAGCTGGAATCATCAATTAAGGGCCCCAAAAATCATGTAACCATCAATGCACAATGCAAAGAGTCGAGAACTATTAACCAAGTTCATCAGTGAGTAGCGTCTTGCCCTGGATGGAGTTTCTGCACTGAATGATCTGCCGACTGCTGTTGCCCAGATTAAAACGGACTTTCCATGGGATGCGATGATCAGAGTCTTGAACTTCCAAGAGAGTGCGGTCTCGTATTGTCCTTTCCTCCTGCAGAATCCACAAGTACATCATAACATGTTAAAAGACAGCTCAGTTACATCGAAATGGACGGAAATGAAGACGAAACATTTCTGAAATAAAATGTATTTTCTTAAATTATTATTTCCACTAGATTTTACTTTCCCGGTTACAGTTCTCTTTGGGAACATTTGTGAATAGCATAACTCAAAACATAAGGTTTGTTGTAATTCTAACATTTATACACAAGGGGTGCGATACTTAGTCTGTTTGCAGTTGACCATAACTTCCTGCAGCCTTGTCTGTTTTCTTTGCTCCTTGAAGCAAAACGTAAAGCATCTCCGGTTGTGTGTAAAAATCAGACACTTAAAGAATCGTATCGACACATACGGTGCACCGAGAAGGACTGATGGGATGTTCGTACCTGTTTGAGTGTACGGGTGAAAAAGTAGATCAGAGACATGCCGAAGACCCCCCCTAGCACCCAGCGCTTCCTCAGTAACCGCCGCAGCACCATCATAGCATGGTTCTTTGGGGGAGATGGCAGTCCAAAACCTCTCCAGTTGGGAATCCAATCTCTTGAGTTACGTTGACTTACAATTGCGCAAAACCGCTCAAAGCCTGTTCCGTTAACTGTGCAACTACTTTATATTAAGACAGCTTGCTTTCGGCACCAATAGTTAACCCATGTCGCAGTCAGCTGGACTAAATAATAGAACGAATCATAGCTGTGTAAAAATGCTTCATAACAGGTCCCAGGAACGTTAGCAAACATCACAAAAGCATGCATTGTTCCTCCGAGAGCCAGCTGCCACTAGCATTAGCTTCCTGACAGCACCAAATAACGAATACTAATGAAAATAAGCCGTTTACTTTTCGGTTTAAAGATGTCGTCGTTTGCCCTAAATAGTACTTATTGAGATATTTGTCAATCGAAATGTAACGTCCACCGTTAGCAAGCTTCCCAACACGGATGTGGTACGGTGAAAGGGTGGACATTGATTGGTTGGACATTGAAGGCGAGACCTCGGTGACATCATACCGGAAGTTTACCGGAAGTGGGCCGTCAATGTAGCGCATCATCCACAAATACAATAAAAAATACATCCGTGTGTTTTTCTAAGCACCCGGATACAGTCGTTTTATGCAAACATTTTTCTGAACTATGGCAGGAACTGAGGGACGGACTCCACCGAATCGATTAAGGTAGAGTCCGTTCGTATCATTATGGTGTCATTAATGACTCATTAAACAAAATCCGCATTCGGCATCCTAGTCGTTTTTACGACACTGCAGTTTCCTTCATTATTGGTAACCTCACCACGATATTGACCTGTCCTGTCCAGCAGAAGCTTAAAATAAAATTACTACATAGCTACATCTGGTTCATTCTCAACCCTAATGGTACACTGTGTATGATTTCTCATTGTATTCTTCCGGACCTAGCATACAAATCTGACGTGGTTAATGTAAATTAATGTGACAAAAATGCTAATTTATGTAAAAGAGGAGAAGCAAGCAGGCTGTCATATTAAAACAGCATTTCCTACTATCATATGAGGTTACACAAGTGAAACCATTAATGTAGTAATTCTGCAGAAAAATAATGAATTCTATAGGCAAATCATTTTTGCCACCCACAATGATGACAACAAGAAAGGTGCATTTTGGTTTAACTATAATTTGTTACCAAAAAATTTATATCACTCAATCTCTACGCAGACTGACAATAAGATGAATAAGTAGTTGTTGCCGCTCTTTGTTTCTAAGGGTTGGGCCATGTGGTGCTGAGCAGTGTGCCATGCAGAGGAGACACAGCAGCAACACGGATGGCATGCCCTTTGACAGGTAGACCAAGAAACCATACTGCACACAAACAGCAAAACAGTCTTTTTTTAAAACAACTTTGTTTCTGTTGCCTTGTGGGTGTCCCTTCAGGATCCGTCTCCTCTGCCCAGTTACAGGCGCCAGGCTTACCTTACTCGTGACTCCCGTGTCATATGAAATATTTGTTCATATTGAACCCACGAATCACTCACTGCGAACAAATCACTCTCTGCGAACTAATCACTCACTGTAAACTAATCTTTCACTACGAACTAATCTTTCACTGTAAACTAATCTTTCACTACGAACGAATTACTCTCTGCGAACTAATCTTTCACTACGAACTAATTACTCTGCAAACTAATATTTCACTGTGATCTAATCTTTCGCTGTGAACTAATATTTCGCTATGAACGAATCACTCTTTGTGAACTAATCTTTCGCCGTGAACTAATCTTTCGCTGTGAACGAATCATTCTCTGTGAACTAATCTTTGGCTGTGAACTAATCTTTGGCTGTGAACTAATCTTTGGCTGTGAACTAATCTTTGGCTGTGAACTAATCTTTGGCTGTGAACTAATCTTTGGCTGTGAACTAATCTTTGGCTGTGAACTAATCTTTGGCTGTGAACTAATCTTTGGCTGTGAACTAATCTTTGGCTGTGAACTAATCTTTGGCTGTGAACTAATCTTT